TGTCTTTGCTTTTGTTTTTCACCTTTCAATTTCTGCAATACAACCTTTCACACCTCTCCCTCTAATTTAAAATATTTGTAGTCCTTATGAGTGTTATTTATTCATTTTTTTTTTTTTTTTTTTTGAGACAGAGTCTCACTCTCTTGCCTGGGCTAGAGTGCCATGGCGTCAGCCTAGCTCACAGCAACCTCAAACTCCTGGGCTCAACCAATACTACTGCCTCAGCTTCCCGAGTAGCTGGCATTACAGGCATGTGCCACCGTGCCTGACCTATTTGTAGTCCTTATGAGTGTTATAATGCTGATGAGCATTAAATTTCTTTAATGTTGATATTGCAGTATCACAAAGCAAGCAAACCATCTTATCTTTGGCAGAAACAAGATAATATTGCAATTCCCAATCCTCATTAAAAAATCTGTTTTCTTCCTTCAACATTCTCTTGGCTTCTTTGACATCACGGGCTGTTAAGCAGACAGAATTAAAAAATACTGTCGAGCTGTGCAATTATTCACAAATTCCACTTCAAATAGAAATACAGTGCACCACTGTCAAAAGGTGGTAACAGACTGGAGTACTCGATTCCCACAAACTCTCACCAACCAGCCTCATGTGGTAGTGGTACCAGTCAGGTGGGGGAAGTTAGAACTAAACCATGAGTATAGCAGCTGTCCTTATGGCTTACTAATGTTCTAATTGTGCCAGTCAATCTGGGAGCATTATTTCATTGAAACTTCTTTTATTTTTTGGTATTTTAAATATGTTCATTTAAAAAATAAAAATATAAAAGACAAACAAAAATGTATTAATAAAAGGATTTGTTCTGTAAATTTGGATTCAGTCAAAAGGCTGCACTTAAGGACCTATAAGGCCACAGGTTCCCCACCCTTGGTCCAGGTGTCCATCAGACAAAACCAAATTCAAGGAGGGTCTACAAAATAACTGACCTGTAATCCTCAAAATTGTCCAGGTCATGAAAATCAAGGAAGAACTGAGGAACTTTTCCAGACTGAAAGACACTAATGAGACATGAAAACTAAATACAACAAGTGATTCTGAACTGTATCCTTTTGCTATAAAGTACAATGTTGGGACAACTGGCAAAACTTGAATGGGATCTGAGGAGTAGGTGGTAGTAACACTGTTAATTTCCTGATTTTGCTAGTCTTATTATGGTTATGTAGGAGACCATTGTTGTTTAAAAAGATAAACACTAAATTATTCTGGGTAATGGAGCATAACATTAGCAACTCACTTTCAAATGGTTCAGGAAAAAATAGTTCTTTGTACTGTACTTGTAACTCTTCTGAAAGGTTGAGATTGTTTCAAAATAAAATGTATTTTTAAATGTCTTAACTTAAATCTCCTCCCATGTTTCTACCCAGGATAACATCAAGCCAAAGGACATGCCTTCAGAAGCTATTAAACACCTCATTTGCTTTTCACAGATGTCACTGGAATGCAATTCTAAATTTTGGTCGTTTTTTTTCCCTTCATTTTCTTTATCTTGTCTAAGGCTTCAGTGCAAAATCCATTATTGCTCAACTATCATCTACGTGCCCCCATTTGTATATACTAACCTTTATTAAGCACTAACTGTGCTGGGCCATGTACTAAGTACTTTTTAGGCATTATCTCCTTTAACCTCATTCTCTTGCTAATTCCCCCTTTGTACTCCAACCTAGAGCATCCTGACTGCTATGGCTTTCTCTTTGGGCCTTTGCAAAATGTGGTTGGTGCCTCTGCCTCTCTTTCTCCCCTTTCCCTTCACTCACTAACTTCTACATATCCTTCAGGTTTCAGGCTAACACTTCCTCCAGGGAGCTTTTCCTTAAATCGGAGTGAGGGCCCCTTTCCTCTGCCCCTACGGAGCCCTCTCTTTTACCATAGTACTTTTACACTACATTTTGCTTTTGTTTTTTCTTCTATTCCCTCTTCTACGATATTCAAGAGTAAGGACTGTATCTTTACTGCTGTTTTACCAAAGCTAACAAAGGGCTTAGCCCATAATGTCACTCTGAAGAGATTTTAATTAGTGATTTCTTACTTCTGAAAACAGGAAATTTGATGTAAAATATTTAATCACAAGTAATTGACGAAAGTCCTTTGAATGACAATGTATATAAGTGATATTAAAATTTCTTACCAAAACCCAAAATACTAGTTTTCTACATGATTCTTGCTGGTGAAAGTGAATTCTCAGCAGAGCAATAAACAAAATACATTCACATTAGTCCTCAAGTGACTTCTAGTAAAGGGGAGCAATGAAAGGATTACACCACAGGATTGATTTAGAAGCAATAAGCACTCTTCTTTTTTTTTTTTTTTTATTATTTTGGGTTGTGCTAATCTTCTCTGTATCATTCCAATTTTAGTATATGTGCTGCTGAAGCGAGCAATCACTCTTTAAACAGCAGTGATTAAAAAATAGTTTCAATTTATTCTAAATTCTTCCTGGTCAGGGAACAACACAAGAAAAACAAAAGGACTTTATTTTCTACTAGTTTGTGTTTCATGAAAGAATTGTTTTTTTTTTTTTAATTCACAGAATGTCTTTCGGCACCATAGAAATCTTGGTGTTATAAAGGAAACTTTCATTATGTTACAAAAGAACAAGTTGAGATTGGTGAGGAAAGCTGAAGAGAACCAGCAACAATAGCTGTTCTGCGGTGAGCAGGTCTATGAGAAGCTACGCCCAAAGTCCAAGGAAGGAAGAAGCTGACAAATCCAGTTTCTCGGAGAGAAACATTTAACAGGGACTTACAAACAGAAGTGGTGTTGGGTGGGCCGTAAGATGGTGGATCCTCCCACCATTATCCCCCAGGCCTAGGGCATATATACCATAAGGAAGGAATGTGGAAGACAATTGAGGCCAATCCCTTGGGGAAAGGCAAGAATGCTATGTGAATCTGCATAAGGGCAGGATTTATGGTCAACGTTGTTTTGACCTGGGGACAGTAACAATAAAGTAGAAATCTTTTTTTTTTTTTTTTTGAGACAGAGTCTCACTCTGTTGCCCCGGCTAGAGTGCCATGGCGTCAGCCTAGCTCACAGCAACCTCAAGCTCCTGGGCTCAAGCGATCCTCCTGCCTCAGCCTCCCGAGTAGCTGGGACTACAGGCATAAGCCACCATGCCCAGCTAATTTTTTCTATATATTTTTAGTTGTCCAATTAATTTCTTTCTAATTTTAGTAGAGACGGGGTCTCGCTCTTGCTCAGGCTGGTTTCGAACCCCTGAGCTCAAACAATCCGCCCGCCTCGGCCTCCCAGAGAGCTAGGATTACAGGCATGAGCCACCGCGCCCGGCCATAAAGTAGAAATCTTAGAGGCATTCCTGGAACAGGCGTTTATCAGAAGTCAACAAGGCAGATTAGCATCCAAGATGGAGTTGCTCCCCCATCCCCAAGAGATGGGGTCTCCCTATACTGCCCAGGGTGGAGTGCAGTGGCTATTCACAGGTGCAATCCCACTACTAATCAGCACCGGAGTTTTGACCTGCTCCAGTTTCCCTTGGCAGCTTCAGCCCTCCTTAGGCTTAGGCACCCTGGTGGTCCCCCGCTCCCCGGAGGTCACTGTACTGACATGGAACTTAGTGCAGACATCTGATGGACATAGGCACTACAGCCCAGAACTCCTGGGCTCAAGCGATCCTCCTGCCTCAGCTTCCGGAGTAGCTATGACCACCACGCCCAGCCAAGATGGAGTTGCTTTATCCTCCACAAGGCCTTCCAAATGCTCTGCCACTTGAAACTAATGATTCCCCTCATTTTTGTTCCTCTTTCCGTCCCCTCCAGCCCTGTGAAACGTGCACTTGTAGTCAACAGAGCCCAGGGGAGGCAGGTCTGAGAATGGAGTGTGAACCCCCACGCTAAACCATGACATGGTTGCATTAGCACAAAACCTCACTAGGTGCAGCGAGGTCTGAGGAGCCTCAGGCATTCTCTTCCACTCTGCACCCACAATGGGCCACCCGGGGTGGATGAGCTGTTGCTGGGGAGTGGACTGTTGAAATCTGCTGTTTCAACTTTAAGCTACCACTTACTGAACACCTTCTATGAGCTGGGCTCTGTGCTAAGTGGTTCCCATGCTTTCTAAAGCAGACCAATGAGACGTGTCATATGACTCACAACTCTATGAAGTAGCTGTCTCCAGAGTTACGTTTTGGGTTTCCTCTTCACGTAAGAAGAGTGTATATAAGAAGACATAACTGTTTCATATTATTATATTTAAATAATTCACGCCAAAAGTCGTAGAGACATTAAAAAACTTAGGACCTCAATGCTCTGTTTCTCTTCAGAAGGAACAAATCCTTCGCCTTTTACTAAAGACTTCCGTGAAGAGGAACAGTTATGAGTTGGTAACCAATTTTTTTTGAGGCCTTGCTTAGGCAGGGCTAAATATAAATTAAAAAAACAAAAGACAAAAACCTTAGTACTTCATTTCTAAGAATCACCACTTAAGCTCTGGAAATAGCCTTGATAGTTGAATAGCATTGCAAATGTAATTAATACCACTAATTATACACTTTAAAATGTTTAAAATGGCATATTTTATGTTATATGTCACCACCATTTAAAAAAATATTTTTTGGCAGGTGAAGAAAACTAAGGCTCAAAGAGACCTTGTTCCATGCCCTTCCTCACCCAGGTCAAACGTCGGTTCGCCAAGTCCCCGGTGTGCACCTCTCTTCTCAATTTCAGTTGCCCCATTAACAAAAACGAGGTAGTTGTCCGAGATGACCTTTAGGGGTCTTTTCGGCTCGACGGCTTTACAGTTTTTGGAGCGAGGAAAGAGAATCTACAAGATCCTCCCTGAAAAGCAACCATCTGAGCGCAAGGATACCACCTCCCTCGCGCCAGCCCGGGTTCCAGCTCTCGTCGCCCGCTCGGGCGCGCGGGCCGCAGTGCGCATGCGCAATGGGCTCCCGGCACAGGCCGGGCGATCGGCCGGCCTACGCGCCCGGCCCCACCTGTGCCGGCTTCCAGGCCCTGAGGAAGGCCTCGGAGGCCGTGTGCGCGTCGGGCTCCGGTGACCGTTGGCCTCTCCGCCAGGGCCCTAGCAGAGCTCTCCTCACCACCCCTCTCCTCCCCTCCCCGGCTCTGGTCCCAACAGCCCAGCGTAGAGCCGGGGAGGGGGGGAGGAGCCTTCCAGCGTGACACCCCCAGGGCCTCCAGCTCTTCGCTAGTCGGCCCGCCCCGAGGGGCGTGAGGAGGGGGCGGGGCTGCGGACCTCGGACTCGGGTCCATGCACCGCCTCCTGCCTATGGCCCTAGCCCGCAGGCTGGTCAGGCGGTGAGGGAGCCATGTCGGCGCTGCTTGGGCTCCGGCCCGAGGTGCAGGACACCTGCACCTCGCTGGGACTGATGCTGTCGCTGGTGCTGTTCATGGGGCTGGCCCGCGTGATCGTCCGGCAGCAGCTGCACAGCCCCACGGCCCACGCCTTCGTCTTGGAGTTTCTAGCCACCTTCCAGCTCTGCTGCTGCACCCACGAGCTGCAACTGCTGAGCGAGCAGGACCCCGCGCACGCCACCTGGACGCTGACGCTAATCTACTTCTTCTCGTTGGTGCATGGCCTGACTCTGGTGGGCACCTCCAGCAACCCGTGCGGCGTGATGATGCAGATGATGCTGGGGGGAATGTCCCCCGAGATGGGTGCGATGAGGCTGCTGGCTCAGCTGGTTAGTGCCCTATGCAGCAGGTACTGCGTAGGCGCTCTGTGGAGCTTGAGTCTAACCAAGTATCACGTCAGTGAGAGGAACTTCGCTTGCAAGAATCCCATCCAAGTCGACTTGCCCAAAGCGGTAATCACAGAAGCCGTCTGCTCCTTTATCTTCCACAGCGCTCTGCTGCACTTCCAGGAAGTCCGAACCAAGCTTCGTATCCACCTGCTGGCTGCACTCATCACCTTTTTGGTCTATGCAGGTTTGTCATTACCACAAAACACTTGGCACGTTTCGAACCTGTATGACCTGAGGTTCTAAGTTCTTTACCAAAATAGATTTGAAACCCCTACACCGCTGTGATGTAAATATTGGTATCCCCGTTATTTTAATTTCCATTTTGCAGCCTGATCTTAACCAATAGCGCCAACATATATTAATAGATCCTGCATTCAGTGCTTTTTTTGAAAACCCAGAGAAAAGAACCACTTCTTTGCCGAAACTGAGATGTTGCCAAGGGTTCAAATATTCTACAAAGGGATTGTTTTAATGGTAGAGAGGAAAGATAACTTATTAACCACCTCTTCATGCCAAGGTGGTATAGATCCTTTCTGATACTCTCACTGAAAAATGATCCTGCTTTCGAGTTTAAGCACAAGGCACATGATTGGTTAGTAGTAAGAGTGGGGAGTAGAAATTCTTTAGTTCCATCTCTTAGTTCTATAAATTGCTTAAAGTCATTTCTTTATTTCCTTAATAATTCACTGAGTTATAAATAATCTTTAAATGATCTATCAAGAAAGATGTGTTTAAATGAAAACTTGCTTGAAATTAAAGATTCTTTTTAAAAACAAATAACTTGAGAAATCTTTTGATTTCTCTTAAGTAATTTGTTTACCTTGACAGATCTCAGATGCAGTAATCTACACTAGATATTCTAAATGGGAGGAAAAAATCCAAAAAGCAAGTGTTCAATGATGAAATGATTTAATCATTTTAAATTTTAGATGATTACAAGAGAGTATCTTTGTTGGGACTATATCAAAATTATAAAACATTTGGGAGGCAAGACTATAACAAAGGAAATTTGTAGTTATAGTCTATCTTTTGCCCACGAAAAGTGAAAGTATGAGCAGAAACTAACCTCAAGATAAGGACTCTTGTACCTTGTTTTAGTACACACAGATGGAAATAAATGGTATAGAAGAGTGAATACATACATATTTGAGGGATTGCTGAGTAGTTGCTTAGTTATTAAAAGTTTTAGGGGCCGGGAGTGGTGGCTCACACCTATAATCCTAGTACTCTGGGAGGCCAAGGTGGGTGGATCGTTTGAGCTCAGGAGTTCGAGATCAGCCTGAGCAAGAGCGAGACCCTGTCTCTACTAAAAAAATAGAAAGAAATTAG